CTTAGATACCAGTACAGTTGCTGTACAGTGAACGTACTTTTTGCTACTTGATCCAGTAGAGCAGAATTCCAGAGTCAAAGACAGTCAAATCATCCGGAACTGAGGGAGGCATCATAGACAGAGATAAGAGAAGATAAGTCTAATGCTTCGCATGATGTTGTGTTCCTCACAGCTTCCTGTGTCCAATGATGAGAAGATGTCATCTCCAAGACCTTCTGTCTGTGTAGATCCTAGTGATTTGGACATGATTTCCTGAGATCTGGCAATTTGTCTCACTGTTATAGATCTAATTTATATTGATTATATACATTCATTTTCATGGCTGACTTAGGTGTCTCTATTTCACCTTTTTAAGTGTTTAGCAGGTGTGTATGTATGTGTATCTTCATTATATGTGTTAACATGGTTATGATAATGAACTATCATAACCTGGGGGCTTTCTTTAGTAAGTAGTGGGGGTGTCCAGCCAGGTGTGCCTAGAAATATATATATATATATATATATATTGACATATTTTGTAGTGCCAATACTTGAGTTGCCCTACTCCAGAGATAAGTTGATCGTATATTGGCCACGGGGAATCCCTTAGACCAATACGAGCCAAACGACTCAACAAAATTATCTCTGAGTGCTGCTGGTTCTGAAGGAGAAATCCTTACATTAGGCACGCGACAGGAGTGATATGTGACAATTATTATGGCCTGAAGGGTCTGGCCGGCTCACTACACTGAAAGGACAGGCAAGATAGACATATAACAAAACTACGACAGGTACTATTAGTACTGGAACTCTACGCTGACTGCTAAAGATATGGATTGAACGCATATGTGAATGCCCTGAGTGCTGTGATGTCAATTCTTGACTCAACTCAACTCTGATTAGCTACTTATGCTCCTGCCTGCAACAAACAAAATAGCACATTATCTGTTAACTATGTGTGAGATACAAGTAATTTCAGATACAAAAGTACACACAAATATGTTAAATAACAGCAGATACAGATATAATCTGGTAATCTGGTAATCCTAGTTTCAGCATCATAGCAAACGGGTCACCCCATTGTTGCTCCGCTCCTGTGCCAACGAAAAACACTCGTAGCTCACAGTGTCACACCATGCACTCAACTCAGAAGCTGGGTGACGAAACTATATCCTTCCAGTCTACAAATGGAGCAAAAATGCAACGGCCACCGCCTGGCAGAACTGCCACGGCTTAAAAAAAAAAAAAAAAAAGTGGCCGTGCCTAGCGTCCACTGTGACTTGAAGCATTATGTGAGGGGTTAACAAATGGTCACCCCAGCAGTACCCTCACTATTATCTGGGAAAGGGACTTAGGACATTACATCCACCAGCAGGCGTCGCCCCTACAACGACCTGACTGCCTTCGTTAACGACTGTTCACCCAACAGCCATGCAGTTATTTGGCACGAAGGAGACACCTTGAACTTGGGTTTCGGAATGCCGACTTCCTACAAAATGTTATTTTGTGTTTTGTTATCACAATCGACGTCACTGCACATTGGGCATACCCATGCGTGCGCAGTCCTCCGAAGCAGCAGCCACTCCAAAGTACTTCTACTAATTGTCTCCATTAGAAGCTGGTTATATTGTCTCCTTTCTCGGCCTCGCAGACGGCAAAGACGTGCTTCACCATGCTTAACTCCCATGTCACGCAATCGTGTTAGTGTCAGGGATTCGATATTATCCACTAGCCCAGTACGTACAGCGTTAACGATATCTGCTCTGTCCATGCTTTTTCCCGCAATCATTAGTGCTGTGCTTGCCAGTTGGTCCGCTCGCTCATTTCCCTTTACGCCCGCATGACCCGGTGTGTAGATCCAGGTTACGGAAGTTAAGTGCGATTTCCGAATGCTTTCTATCCATTCAGAGCGCATACTGCCTGTTGCTATTTTCTGAAGCATATTCATTGAGTCTGAGACAATTACTGCTTGTGTGGCGGTTTGCTCGGATACCCATGCTAAAGCTCTTGAAGCAGCGGCTATTTCCATGGTCATGCTTGACGTGGTTGTCTTGTAAGCGCCGCTATCCTCATGTATTGTTTTTTCCCTTCTTTGCGCTGTGTATGCCCATGCTGACCTTGATCCGCGCTTCACGGACCCATCTGTGTAGATGATGATAGCAGATACAGATACTTTTATTGTGCCATACAGTAAACTGGTTATATGGTGGTGAGCAAAGTAGTCAAGCACCCTTTCCGTGCCTTCTGGTGAATTTGGCATAAGGGGCAAGAGTAACATTTTATGGACCAATGGGTACTTGGCGGATGATAAGGCCAGCACCACGCCAGCCGCCTTTACTTCTCAGTGCTTCACCTGGTACTTATTCAAGACTGGGCCGATCTGGGAACCAGTACTATTTATGAAAAAGTCCAGCTCCATCAGGACTGAAACTAACGACCTTCACATATGCAAGCAGGCGTCAAACCGCCACACCACGGCGGCTCCCCATATGGTGGTAGTGCCATAATATGTTGTAAACCATTGAGCGCAGGACTCGTAATGTGGTCGTTTTTACACATGCCGTTTTACTTTCCTGACAACTTTTCTTGATACCAACGTTTAGGCCATGTTCACATAGGGATGCTGATGATTTTTTTTTTTTTTTTACGAATTCGATGTTGATTCCACCTGTGACAACAGGATTAGGAGGCCACGCTAGTTACTGTTCTTCCAAAGCTTTATAAAGAAGAGAATAATGGAGATAACACGCACAAGAGAAAAACAGTGATACAGTTAAGGGTAGAACACTAAAAGGCATAGCTTGGGAGAAGCTTCCGCTAACAAGTCATGACAAGATACATTGCAGGGTATTGGAGATTTTATCATGACATGATGCATAAGAGGGTACTGGATATTGTATCCTGACAAGATACATTAGAGGGAACTGAAGATTGTATCCTGACAATTTACGTAAGAGGGTACTGGAAATTGTATCCTGGCAAGATACGTAAGAGGGTACTGGTGACTGTATCCTGGCAAGATACATAATAGGGTACTGGAGACTGTATCCTGGCAAGATACGTAAGAGGGTACTGGTGACTGTATCCTGGCAAGATACATAATAGGGTACTGGAGACTGTATCCTGGCAAGATAAATGAGAAGGAACTGGAGAGAGATTGTTTATAGATGACATACAATGCAGAGATAGCACTAGATTACGTCGATGATTCTGAAAGACGTGCTGTCGACGATGTTAATGATGACGAGGAGAACAATTAAAAAACTACAGAACTAACCTGTAACAGTTAACTGTTGGGTTACAAAATGCTGTCATTGCTGGAGCGTGCTCGATCAAACCAGCCAACCAGTGACACCCAAGTTCAGAGAGTTTATTGGGCCTGCTCAAATCAACCAGCGCATTTTGCCCCGATGGCGTCCATAAGGAATGATTCCAGTGAAAACCGTTGCTTACTCCAAAAGCTAGATCTGTCCTCGTCATGAAAGATGCTTCAAAACCTCTAGATTTCATTAACGTCTTCGTAGCGTTCTTAAATTCCAGAGTTCGATCGGCAGCCTTAAAGATGATACATTTTGAATAATGATAGAGTGCATGTTATTTCCTGTGTCTATTCTGCATTTGTTAATCAGGATAAACAGAGCGCGAGTGAGTGAGTGAGTGCTAGTTTAGTTAGTTTGTCGTGTATTGTATCATTTAGTCATTTTCCAAGCGAAAAATCGTAAGTAATGTAAAAAGTAAAGATCCTTTTTCGCGCCTTAGGAGCATCGGGCATATGGAAAGAGCATCGCATATTTTTACAGACCAATCAGCACTAGGTGGGTAATGTGGTCAGCATTACGCCAATATATTTTTTTCACTGGTTTAGCTAGTTTATGGTTTACTGTATCAGCGTTGTCATTTGTCATGCGGGAAATCGTGGCAGATCATATTTCGCTCTCTCTCACGATTACCACTCTTGCCTCAGCTCCGTTTATTTGTGTCGCCTGCACTATGTGACCAAGCCATGCAGAAATTAATCTTTTTGTCTCTTTTTGTCCAATTCCTATTACACTTTTCCCCTAGTTTTATAGTACCTGGTAATACCCTGTTTAGCATAGTGCATGGAAACTGGGGCTCAGGCATTTTGATCCACAGCCTGCCCCCTTCCCCCCCCCTCCCCCACTTCACCCTAAGCTGTATGGACGTAGTATTTTTAAGCAATTGTTCATTTAGTTAATTGAAATTCGGCAAAAAATATTATTATTATTATTATTATTATTATTATTATTATTGTTATTATTATTGCCTGTGTGGATTCTGTGATCCTCTTTGCAGGAAAAAGAACAGAGCCTCTTCCTAAATAAGCAGGTCGTAAAAGGACACTAACTAAGGGAGTTTCTAATTCAAAGTCAGAGAGCATGCGCCTAAAAAGGCACGCAAACATCATTCTACATACCAAAAAGCCAGATTTGCAAAACGGTTGTGCACGCTCTGGGACTAGACCAAAGTTCAAAAGTTGACAAACAATTAGAATTAACAGCCGGTGAACACAAATAAGAACAAGAAGATGATGTTATTATTATTATTATTATTGAGCTATTAAACAAAGCTTAATCCACATGAGCGCCTCCGCTAGAAAAGAGTTCAATGTCTCTCTTTCCCAATATTAGCGAGCTGCTGTTTAGTCTCCTTTGAGTAAGAACAGTGATGCCTCAGTATACGTTCGCTTTGGTATACGTTAAACTCGGTATGCCTCCTGTTTAGACTCAAAACCTGTTGCCTCCTATACGACCTTTGCTTGGAATACGATCTTCATGTGCCAAAACTTGTGTGAGTTAGAATTAGTCACGACACAGCTCTCGAGACAAGGCTACAGATAGATGCCCAGGCTTTGTGGAGAAGTATGACCCCAATAAAGCCGTAACAGCCGTGTCAGGAATGACCGGACAATGTCACATTTCCGAAACATCCCGAGGAGAAAGCGGTAGCAATGTTTTTCGTGCAGACTGTTTGTAAACGTCAAACCTGATGAGCCTCAGCCAGGTCCAGGCAGCGAAAACAGAGAAACAAACAGAAAAAAGGCAATCATTTCAGATTCTTAAAAATTTATTGGATCAGGACTCTCTTTCCAAACAATAAAGTATCCTCCCTTCTCCGTGTCATCCTTGTCGGCACGCGACTCTTTTCAGGACGGCAAAATTACATTCAAACTGTCATTTTGGTTAGTTAGATAGTTAGTCAGTTAGTTAGTTAGTTAGTTAGTTAGTCAGTTAGTTCTTTCGTTCGTTAGCTAGTCAGTCAGTCAGTCAGCCAGTCAGTCAGTCAGTCAGTCAGTCAGTCAGTCAGTCAGTCAGTCAGTCAGTCAGTCAGTCAGTCAGTCAGTCAGTCAGTCAGTCAGTCAGTCAGTCAGTCAGTCAGTCAGTCAGTCAGTCAGTCAGTTAGTTAGTTAGTTAGTTAGTTAGTTAGTTAGTTAGTTAGTTAGTTAGTTAGTTAGTTAGTTAGTTAGTTAGTTAGTTAGTTAGTTAGTTAGTTAGTTAGTTAGTTAGTTAGTTAGTTAGTTAGTTAGTTAGTTGGGATATGATCATTGCACTCCGGACATGTTCATAGGTGCTTGAATCATTTCCTCAATATTAATCCCAGCGTCCTATAAACTGTCATTTTTATTCCACTTTTTGCTTTTGTATTTATGTTTGTTAGTATTGGGCAGCATATACATGTTTGTGTACATCCCTTTAGTGCATAATATGCCAGTAACAATAAGACTATTTCTTCTCCATGGCAACGGATTATCGTTACATTTTCGTTTCTCATGAGAAAATTCGTACATACTATTTGGTATACGTCCAAGATCATGAACGGATTAATTACGTATACAGACACACCGCTGTTTGTTGTTATCCAATACTGGGGCATGCAGCAGTTTCTTGTTGATACTTTGGTATACATTTACTGTAGACACACAGACGTGTAACTACATTCTGCATCGCTGCCTTTAAATATCGTTCGATCTATCAATTTGTCTCTTCTAGGCTGCTACCTAAATGTTTGCCATACCATCCTAATAAAATTTTCAAAATCTCAATATAGATGGCAGACCAACGAGACAGATTCCAGATACTTTGTTCAACTCCAAAGTTATAATTACAGCAACCGTAAACAGAGACACCAGCCAAGTGTAACTTTCAGTCCTATGGGCGAAAAAAAAGGGGGGGGGGGGGGGGGGGGTTGATTTTCACAATTGTTCACGAATGACATACCTGGATGCCTTCAGCGACGTCCAGTGTAAACTCAAATTGTCCAGGCCCGTATTCTGTCTGTAGCGAATCAATAGCGACACCTCTTTCAGATAGTTCTTGAACCAGGTCGAACAACAAACCCTGGTCACCACAGGAATTTATAGTAATTTAGAATTTTTTTTTCTCCAAATTACAGGAAATTATTAGGCAAAATTAATATCATGATTTACTTTTGTTTTAAAATTAAAATAACCATGTCTTTCATAAAAGTTAGGTTGGAGAGAAAATAACACCACCACAGTAGAAATTCTGTTTATTTTTAATTACTGAATGAAGAGTTGAGGGCGGCCTAAAATCTCACAGAGGCGAGAATTATTAAGCAAAATTAATATCATAATTTACTTTTTTTTTTTATAAATATAACTATGTCTTTCACAAAAATTAGGTTAGAGAGAAAATAACACCACCAAAGTAGAAATTCTGTTTATTTTTAATTACTGAATGAAGAGTTGAGGGCGGCCTAAAAACTCACAGAGGCGAGAATTATTAAGCAAAATTAATATCATAATTTACTTTTTTTTTTTATAAATATAACTATGTCTTTCACAAAAATTAGGTTAGAGAGAAAATAACACCACCAAAGTAGAAATTCTGTTTATTTTTAACGACTGAATGAAGAGTTGAGGGAGGCCTAAAAACTCACTGAGGCGAGACTTAAAGAAGACAATAACACGAGAAATACGTGGTTGTGGCTGCACGAACTAAAATAACGGGCGTGTTGCTGTCGACTAAGGATCTAGTTTTGCAGAAGAGGTGACCAAGAATGGAGAGAACAAAAATATTACTACCATATCTCTAAACTTAACAATGAAGACTTATCACAATAATGCAACTATCACATGGGTTTAAACCTTTTTTTATTCAGGGTAAGCACTTTTTCTTCCTTTCGATGGTTCAAACTCTGAAGGCCAGAAGTTGCCTCAAGGTCAATTATTTGTGTTCTTCTCATGCCCCCCCCCCCCACCCCTTTCCCAGTGATGATTCTGATACTGAGGTTCTGTATTGTGTCCAGTTTCTTTAGATTTGATTTGGCTGCAGTGAAGTATGCTCCCATGCTAAACTACAGTTTTGGTTACGGATCCTGTGAATACTTATCGCATAGTGTTGGTGTTAGCATCTGCGCCCACGCTTGTTCTGGCAAGTTTCTTTAGAAGTTTGAGGCGGAGGGTAGCTTTCTCTTGGATGTTTTCAATGTAGGAGCTCCAAGTAAGTCTTCTGTCAAATTGGACTCCTAAACGAATAAATTTAATTACATCACCAGGCATTTCACTTGCAGTGTTTGTTTTGTCTTACACAGTATTAGGGCAACTGCTAAAGAGTTTTCTCAAACAGCATTCACACATATTTTAGCCGCAATCAGCCACTGGTTTTAACTCATGAAGACTCAAATCGCAGATTTACAGGTTGAAAGTAGTTACTGCTGGAGCTGAAAGAGTTAGGCGAAACTTTCATAAGATTCCTTTTAATAACAAATAATATATATTTTTTTCACCAATTAAACCAGTTCATATGCATACTTTTTACAAGTAATATTGTTTCCTCTTGAAGTTGAAGTCCACATAATTAGCAAAATCATGATATGTACCTGATAGTCATGTAAAGTGTTGATAGACGACCATTTCCCATCATGCCCAAAGTATTGTTTGCTCTCAGATTCTCTGACTGTGAATTCTATTTCAAAAGCAGACTTTACTGTAAGACCTAGTTCGTTCCTAAGTCTGTCTATCTGTACTTCTGCTGCAGTACGTGGAACCGATATGTCCTGTTCATGAAGGATTTAAAATGCAATAGTTAGTAGTATATTCGTTATTAATTAACTCCTTCACATCTAAGTAGCTCACATACGTTTATTGGGTAATCCAAAACAGACACTTGTGAAATTAACTTATTGTAGGAGAATTGTTAGATTTGTTCCATCTATCATGGTTAGCGATCGCGGTGTAGCGTCTAGACACTCGCCTTCAGGGACAGAGGTCGTGGGTTCAGGTTACAATGGATCCATTTTTTTTTTACCTTTGCTCCCAGGTCGACCCAGTCTTAAACTGGTACCAGATGAAGTCATGGTAAGTAAACGCAGCCAGTTTGATACTGACCACATCACCCTACAAGTTAAGATTGGTCTATAAAATATAGGTATAACCCTAAACTTCCAATAGGCCTAAAGGCGTGAAAATGGCTCCTTCACTTTGCGTCTATCCAACTGTGTTAATGTGTTTATTATTCTTCAGACTAAAAAAAAAGGTTTAAATTAATTACTGGCATATACTGCTTGTCTCTCTGTCAGAAGACTGTCACTTCTGACTATATTTATCACTTCTGCGGGGTAGGCAGGGTGTCTTTTAATCTGAGGATTTAGGGGCTCTAGGCTAGTGTAGTCGCCAAGGACTGTGCAGGTTATCACTTTTAACTTTATTCTTGACAGGAAAGAAAACCACCCATCACTTTCAAAAGGATTGAATCTGGGCCTTCCTCATTAGAGGCTAAGAGCATTGTAACAGCTCAACAAGCCGCTACCCTTTTTGTGTATATATAAACCACTAAATCAATGTATCATGTGTGTTATTTTACTTACTAATTTGCCATCCAAGTTTTCAAGCTGACACAGAACCTGGCCAACTTTGAATTTGCCACCACCCAGATTTGGACATGGTTTCAATGTGCTCAGTATGGGTTTCAAAGTTTTATTTCCATAGTTGCTGTAACCAATGTCTTCGTGGGCAAAAACTTCTCCTCGAATGCCAAAGTAACATACCCCTGTCAATAGATAGAATACGAAACATAATCTCAACATGTATGTTCCGTCGGCATCACAATGACTTCGTAACTACTTTAAGAAAAGTCATGACAACATAAGTTGTACAAGGTCCGACAAATTAAGTAATGATTTTTTTATGGCCAAAGCATGGAATCTAAAGAGGCAACATTCATCTATTATCTGGCAACTTTTCATTGCCGCTCGATAAGCAGACAACAAACAAGCAGCCATGTTGTTGACCTATTCAGGGGTGCATTGTTACGTAATCAGTATGGAGAAAAAAGCTAACATTAAATTCTTTTTAAAACTTTTTGTTGTTGTTATCGATCCTGCGGCGCATAAGCTTTCGCCCTTTGGCATCATGCCATGTAGTGGAATTTGCATGTTTTCACAAGCTGTTCTTTTCCTCCGTACAAGGTATTACACTTGTCTGGTCTCGGAGGGAGTAACGTTCTTCTTGTCTCACTGAACTTTGGGCACTCGAAGAGATGGTGTTTAACAGTTTTGTAGGGGTAGTTATATAGCTGGCACTCTGGGGAGTGTTGTGGCTGTATTCTTTTTACATGCCCATTGAGTGGAGTATGTTGCGTTCTAAGTCTGAAGATGGTGGCCTGGTCCCTTTTTGTTAGATGGTTAATGCTGTCATTAGGATCGGGGCCAGACATATGTCTATAAACCTCTCTTCCAGTGTCTCACATGGCCCATCTGTTCAACCAAGTCTCTTTGTTTATAGCTCTTATAAGTGTTTTTGCCGTCTGGAGGGTTGTCGCTGTAGGTGGTTGTTCTTGTGTTGCTCATTTCTTTGCCAGTCAGTCAGCTCTGTCATTACCTGGTGTGCCGGAGTGAACTGGAATCCACTGCATCACTATTCTGATGTTGTATGAGGTAATAAGCTGATCAGCATCCAGGATTATCTTGGCTTTGTCATTTCTGCGGCGTTCCCTGCCCTCCAGAGCTTGAAGGGCAGACATTGAATCTGTGAAGATGACAATATTTTGGACCTTTGAAGGGTAAACATCCATTACAGTCTTTAGGTGGTATACTGCTGTTTCCAGTGCAATTATTTCAGCTTCATAATTTGAACAGAATTCCCCGCATGCATCAAAAATCTCTTCAACCGATCCATCGGGATAACCTATGTAGATTCCGTAACCTGCTTTAATGGTAACTTTAAATGGGGTAAGAATCAACGGTCTTTAGGGATGAGCTCATAAGAGCGATTGGGTCGGACTGTTTGGTTTTCTCGCCTACCAATTTAATTCGGACTTCTGGAGCTTTAAAGCGAGCATGTGATGGTAGGTTTCTTGCAACATTTTGAATTCCTTGACGTCTTTCTGGAAGGTGGTATCTGTTCTGAATTTTATTAACACAGTGTAAAACCGATTTGTGCTTTATTCTTTGTTTGCATTCCCAGTTTTCTTTAAGGTGTCTATTAGGATGGTTACGATTGTTTCTAACGCATCTTTCATAAATTTCCAAAGTGGCTTTTTCTCTCCGCAACCCGAGCGGTTCCACATTTGTATGGATTTCACATGCAGCAGTTGGTGTAGACTGCATAGCTTTACATATTAATCGGAGGGCATTATTTTGTACTCTGTTAAGAGTCTCTAGGTTAGTTTTGGAGCAAGCTGTAAGCAGTGAGTTGTTGTACTCTATCACAGAGCGAACATATCCTAGATATAAGCCCCTCAGAGTTTCCTTGTCTGATCCCCATGATGTACCTGCAAGTCTCTTTAATAACTGTGACCGCCTCAATGCCTTATTCCTGATGTTTTCAATATGGTTCTTGAGGCTGAGCTGCCGGTGAAGTGTGACTCCAAGGTATGTGGGATGATCTTCTTTCATTACTTGGTGTTTGTCTAACCTCAGGTTAATATTCTTCCTTGCTACTTGATGGGTTTTGGTAAAGATTGTGTAGACCGTCTTTGCACAGTTAACCTTGAGTTTCTATCTTTGGCAGTACTCATGCAGTCTTCTAAGGTCTCCATTCAGTCTTTGGGCTCCACTTTCCACATTTTCATGACTCTGCCATATTGCTAGGTCATCAGCGTACAAGGCTTTTTCGGCCTTGATTTGTTCTGGCAGCTCATTGATAAAGATTAGGAACAGTGTACAGCTCAATGATGAGCCTTGTGGCAAGCCCTCCTCCAAGACTTCTTTAGAAGAGATTGCGTTGTGCATCTTAGTCTGGATTGTTCTATCAGAAAGTATTTCACCCAGTTATACAATCTGCCATGTATTCCTATGCTCATCATCTTCATCGGAAGACCTTTTCTCCATACGCTGTCATAGGCCTGCTGGAGTTTGACAAAGACGGCCACTGTGTGTTTCTTATTCTGGAAGCCATCAAGTATTCTTTGTGTCAGTCTCAACAGCTGGTACAGCTGTTGGTTCTGAAGCCTGCCTGTTCATGGCATAGAACACCAGAACTCTCTAGGAACCAATACAAGCGCCTGTTTATCATTCTTTCTGCAACTTTGCCCAAGCATGATGTTAAGGATATCGGGCGGTAGCTTTTGGTGTCATCTGGAGGCTTTTGGGTTTTAAGAATGGGGTCGATATATGCATTCCTCCATGCCTTTGGAAGTTTGCTTGACCTCCAAGTTTTATTAATAAGCCTGAGAACTACATCTGTTCTCAGACTGGCCAAGATGTAGCAGCATTTTGTTGTGGATCTTATCTTGGCCTGGGGATTTTCTAGGTTTTAATTTCTTCAGGGCTTGCTCTAATTCATCCATGCTAAATTCATTTTCAAAAAGGGAGTCGCTGGCTGTTGGAGCTCTCTCTTGTTTCTTCAACTGAGAGCGCTGTGTTCTATCGAGTTCTGACAGCTTACCTGCTCTAATAACCGAGGCAAAATAATGATAGAAATGTTCTGCTTTCTTCTTGTCTTCAGTGATTGTCTTACTTCCATCTGTCACTGGTTTTGGGTTCACCCTTCTACTTTTTCGAGAGGTTTTTAACTAAAGTCCATGCTTTATTTCCATTCTGTCTAAGGTCTAAGTTGGAGCAAGTTTCTGTCCATTTATCTCTTTTAGCCTTATTAACTACAAGCTTTACTCTGGCACATGCTTTATTGTATTGGATCTTTGCTTCTGTTGAACGTGCAGTTTCGAGCAATATTCTTGCTTCCATACAGATATAGTATTTTGAATTTCTTTATTCCAGAAAGGTTTATATGCGTTTCGGCTGCCCCTTGGGATGGCTATCAACGCTGCAATCAGGATTGCTTCTGTTATATCTTCACAAAAAGTTTCCACACAGCTGTTGTCAATTCTTCCCAGGAGGCAGTCAGATGTTTCCTGAAATAGTTTTCAGTTTGCTTTTCGGAAATTCCAACCGGTTCTCTGATTGAAGCGTAATTAGGCGGTGGTGCTTACAGTTGTGAGTATAGGTTTGTGGTCACTTCCTATGTCGTCCAGGACTTAGGGATAGCTTGCGTCTGCTAAGTCGGATGAGCAGATGGTCAGGTCAGGTCGGCTGAGAGATAGGTGGGCCCTGTGTAACAGTGTAGGTGTAGACTCTGTGTCCTGCAGCACTAATAGGTTAGTTGTTTTACAAGTATCTTCGATGTATTTCCCTGTACTATTGTAGTCAGGGTAACCGCAACGTGGCGAGTGTCCGTTGAAGTCAACAACAAGAAGGGTTTTATGGTACTGTGTCTTGTATAGTTCTGGTATGTTGCATGTTGTCTGAGGTGGACTGTACACGTTGTATATCGTATATTTGCTTCCATTGTGCCAGATAGTTATTTTTTGCACATCTGTAGGGTGAGATGTCGATAGTATTGTTACATCTCCTTGTATGTCATTTCTGATATAGGTCACTATGCCCCGGCAGTCGTTGCACTTACAGGCATAACTAGTATATCCAGTGAGATGCAGATCAGAGTCTTTATGCAGGGTTTCTTGTAGGGCAGCTACGTGTACCCTGTGGTTGTTTAGCAGTTTGGCAAGTTCAAGTTTCTTATTTCTTATTCCACAGATGTTCAGCTGCAGAATATTGAGCATCTGTGTATTTTTTTTTTTTTTTTTTTTTTGCTGTGCGGTCTGAGTTCTCTTTGCTCTCCCTCCCACTCTTCCTCCTTCTGGGGTGTCTGATTTTCCTATTTATCTCAAATTTTCCAGTAGCCAATTTTTCGCACATGACAGCCTGGTTTTCCACTGTCTGACGCGGGCCTTGATAGGCGAGGCGACGACCGATCTCGTATGTATTCTTAAATTTTGACATATTCATGGCATTGTGGTGCTGGGATGTCTGTGGATTACCTACATAACCGGGCAGCTAGAAATGCCCTGTACCAGTTCCAAAGGAAATATGGGTTGTGTGAATCCACATCACTCGCCAGAATGGCAGACTTGGGAATTAAGATCGGCACAGCAAAAAATGAGACGCACACCAGACACGTCAGACGACTTGTTAATCAACATAGAACTGGTACTATTAGCCATCGGACGTTGGGGTTCATACTGAGGGGAGGATCTGAGCACCTATGGACATGTCCAGAGTGCAATGATGATAACCCAACTATCTAACTAACTAACTAACTAATATGGGTTGTGTTTCTGCCTTCCCCTTTAACACTTAGCTAAGGTGGGGCTAACAGTGTGCTCATTCCCCGCCACCAGACTGCCTGCAGGTTTCGCTGAGCTGTTCATGGCTCTAAGCATGGCCTAAGCATGAGTAGTTGGGGCAACTGGATCGTCACGTCCTGAGTCCCTATGCCTTCACTATAGTTTCCGGTATTTTGGCTCCTTCCCTACCACAGGGGGCAGTACGGTGTGGTGCACCAGGTTTATTATCGAGGTTTGCTCCTCTAGATCCACTGTGTTTTGCCTGGGAGTTCGCACCCCCAGTTACCAGGACTACCTCGGGGAGGCTGTGACTCTTCGCCACGCACAATGATCTTGCTAGGTCAAGAGGCTGACACCACAATAGACGCTCCTTTCGTGAACAGATATTCACTAGACCTAGGGTGAAGTAAGGGGGGGGCACTACCCACAACACCAACACTTCTTACCCCCTGCCTCTCGAGGCTCAGTCACTTTAAAACTCGTAAAAAGGGCCATTGAAATAGTTGAATTGATGCAGCAAATTTATGGGAATATTGTTTATCTCGTGCACACATTTTCAGGGGGTATTCCCGATTTAAAAGTGGTGAGAAAATGATTACTAATGCACCTAGACATGGACGCCAAATTTATGTTTGTAATGATAAACTCATTGCAAAAGTCAGAGAACGGATACAAGAAGATCGATGTTTTACTGTGACGATGATAACAAATGCATCTGGTGTTGATATATGGACCATTCATAGCATTATAGTGCAAGATTTTGGCCCCAAAAAAAATGTTGCTTGCCGGTTTGTACCACATTTGTTGTCTGATGACCAAAAATATCAGCGGTTTGAGTACCCAAGAGAAATCATCAAAACAAAAATTGTTGGCCCAAAAACAAATGTGTGTTCTCAGCCTTCCACCCTATTTCCCAGATATGTATCCCAGTGATTATTTTATATTCCCAAAATTAAAGTTACGATTGAAAGGACGCTTCTTTAACGATATTGATGACATTAAAGGGCCGTAATATCGACTTTAAGGGCCATAACAACAGAAGAACGATGGAGGTCGTTCCAGTGTTTGTTAGATCGTGCTACTTGGTGTATCAATGCACAAGGGGCTTACTTGGAATCATATACAGGTTATATCTTCAACTGTTAATTATTTTAGTTTTTTTTTTTGGGGGGGGGGGGGGGGGGGGAATTTAGTCTCATTACTTAATTGTCGGACCTCGTATGTTTTAGAATAGTTGGCGGTGGGTTGGGGTTGGAGCGGGGGGGGGGGGGGGGGGGGGGGAAGAGAACTATGTACACAAAATCAAGAAAATAAAATGCAGAAAAAGTCAATTACGTCAGTTGGTTATACAATTAAATTAAAATCCAAGCAGTATACGCCTTGCACACTTAAAAAGATTTTCATGGTTCCACACTCAAGAAATATATTCAGCACATAATAAGAACGATGACTACCCAAAGTTATAGCAACATCACAAAGAAGAAAGTTAGATAAATAAAGACAAACGTACACAACGGGATAAATACATCGCACAATAGATCATTCCCCCTCTCTCATCACTTTAGTGACGTAAATAAATGTTTTTTAAAGAAGAAGAATGAGTTGTATCAATAACCAAGCTTCACAAGGATATGTAGAATACTCATTAACATCCTCAGTTCATATCTAATGCTGAAACATTGTTCGATTTGTCCATTTCAGCAGCAATAAGACTTTTCTGCTTCCTTGCCTAGAGGAACCAGTTTCGCGAAATAAAATAGCACACTGAGGGGCAACAGAGTTCATACTCTAGCGATGTAGGAGTCTGTGACTAACAGTACAACATCTTTCTATAGCAAACCCCATATCCAATTTACGGTGAATAAGATATAAATATGTAAAACATGTTTAAACCAGCTTGAAATAATTGCATCTGAAATGGTCTTGAGCCAAAATGTATAATAAAACTGCATTTTCTTAAAACAATTTCTGCTGGAATGTCTATCAACTTAAATGCATGTTGTCTATCTTTCACATGCATAGAAAGCATATGTTTTGTTCAGTACTTCAGTCAAGTTTTCCTCACTGAGGCTCTTGTGTGTGTGTGTGTGTGTGTGTGTGTGTGTGTGTGTGTGTGTGTGTGTAAGAGAGACAAAAGAGAGAGAGAGAGAGAGAGAGAGAGAGAGAGAGAATATGTTTTTCATCTTACAAATGGTCACTTTTGTTTAAAACTCAGGAATCTTTGCCCTGATGTCATATCTGTACTGCTACATTATGTTTAAACATAGAAAAAAAAATTTTGTGTATGGTTAATTGTTTCAGGTATTATCTGCTCCCGTTCATCCCTGTGATTAACCTTCTGTTTCCATTTGGTGACATAATGAACTCACCTCCGTAAATTCCCAGCCCATCTTTGACGATTCCCGCCATTCTTGTCTTTGCCATGAGACGCCCCTTTGGTAACCCATGCACATCATGGATCATCACTAGAATAAAGTCAAAGTCGTCCAAAGAAGGTGACGCCATATTTATGTTGTTTCAAGCGCTACAAGCGAAAATATAAAAGGATACATTTGGTCTAGAAATTCCCTTAAATAAATATACATACCAAATAGTTAACATGGGAAATGTCCTAATACTGGGACGCACTTGGTCAAAGTAATAAAGAGATACCCTAACCCCTCCATACACATAAACACATAAACCGGAGTGTAGAATTAGATAATGAGTGAGTTAGGGGGAAAAATTATAAAAAAAAACATGAAGTGTATTGCACGCGATAGTGAAGGAAAGAACTACTTGATGATGTTTGATTGAAGACATGCTCCATTTGGGAATTAAAGAGCAACAGAGAAAAAAGCCGACGTGTTATTGGCGACATCATTGACTGAGTGCTTGATCTGATGATATTTTTGTTTTCTAGTCTTATTCTGCCTTTCAGGTTTTTAAAGAGGCATCAGCCTTGATATGTGCCACATAGATGATGATACATACAGTCTAGGATATTTCTATCATCCATTTCTTGCAAAAACGACCTCTAGTTTTGCTTCCACTGTGTCTAAGTGACAGGGCTTTCTGTTGTCACTTGATGTAGTTTAACACTGGTTCAGTCCTAACATGTTTCCATTTTGATCCTGTCTTTTTTAGCTGCATTTCGGACTTGTAGTATTCATTTAATTTCTGCTGTTTCGATTTTTTCTTTTTTCCTTTAGTTGGTAATGTCAACAGTTGCATCATACTTATTTTCAGGACACTCCAAATCAATTTTTAGTTGTCAACGCAACGCCAACGTTTAAATCATGATTCAAAACATTCTAAAAAGTACTATAACAAAAGACGTTCGACATGGGTCATATTGTACCAAATTTTACGAAAGTACCAACTTCATCCGCCCTGCTCCTGCAAAAAGTTTTGGTTGTTCGTCCACTCCTGGACTTTTGTCTTGTTCCAGAACTTGAGTTTTGCGTGCATATAGCTTTTATATATCGATCTGTGTAGGCTATTGTTGTCCTGAACTATTCAATATAATAGAAACTAAATTAATATGTTCCAGGGTTTTTAAAAAAAATACTCAGTTTTAAAACAAATCTGTTTTTTTTTTTCTGTACCATAATCTTTAATACAGTCACTTGTAGAGGGTTTGGAGTCACTAGTTTTTGTTGACAGCCAATGTTCCCACCACTTGTAGAGGGTTTGGAGTCACTAGTTTTTTGTTGACAGCCAAAGTTCCCACCACTTGTTGAGGGTTTGGAGTCACTAGTATTTGTTGCCAGCCAATGGTCCCACCACTTGTAGAGAGTTTGGAGTCACTAGTTTTTGTTGACAGCCAACGTTCCCACCACTTGTAGAGGGTTTGGAGTCACTAGTTTTTGTTGACAGCCAACTCTCCAAAGTACTCTCTTGTTGGTGACATTTGCAAATATATAGATCATATGTCAAAAAAGTTCATTTAAAATTTTACGCAAAAATGTTTATACTTCACAAATTAAGGGATAAAATTAATACTAGTGTTAAAGGTATTCTCAGCAATTTTAAGAAACATGACACAGTTAAACTCCGTGTGATAGGGAGACGTCATCATTTGTTTGTTTGGAGGTTGGATATTGCGTATTAGTTGAGGGGACAGAAGTTAACAGGTCTTAACAATTTGGACAGTCCTTTCTAGAACGATCATTTTTTATTAGTAGAGAGTTATTTGCAAATAAATAACCTAGTTATATGAATAGCATCTGATGCAATCGTGGACGTGCCATATCAAAGAACGAGAGACTTATCGTACATGCTTTTTAGAAGGCGATAGACGAACACCTGCCAATCCAATTAGTATGTTTTGGTGTAGACTATTTGCCGCAATATAAAAGCAATTAGAAAATCCCACGTGAGAACGCACATAGGTAAACAAGTTTTAGTACACAAGAATATGCTAGAAGCAGTAGTGAATATAAAAAACATCTCAAGCATGCCAACATCTCAGTATAAATAGTGGGTAAGAAACCACTTGTGTAATCTTCACTCAACGAGACTCAGAAGAGGAGGGACTAGTAACATTGACCGTCAAGGAAAATTTTCAGTCGTCGAAACCAAAAAGCAATAGAACCAGTCACATGGAGCCTCGAACACAGTCAGAAGAGAGGAGAAATGAACGAGACAACGAACTACAAAGACATTAGACAAGACGCATGGATCCATGGTTAACAGAGACACATTTGGTAACAACATTACTAAGACGTTTAGAGTCGACGATTAGGCCGCTAGTACCAGACATCACTAGAAGCCAGGTGGTAGTTACAGACACTAGAACCATTTAACTAAGTTACTAAAGATTACAGAACATTACCTGCACAGACTCCAAGCCGCCATAACTGCGTTGCAACAAATGTATGTATGTATGTATGTATGTATGTATGTATGTATGTATGTATGTATGTATGTATGTATGTATGTATGTATGTATGTATGTATGTATGTATGTATGTATGTATGTATGTATGTATGTATGTATGTATGTATGTATGTATGTATGTATGTATAAAGTTATTATAATTTTAAATAGTTCATTATGAATTTATATATATATATATATATATATATATATATATATATATATATATATATATATATGTGTGTGTGTGTGTATACATTTATACGTAGGTTTATTAATATGTTACCTTCTGGTGTGTTTTTGTACCTCTGCCACAAAAATGCGGTACAGTTCCACACACACACACAAACAAAAAAGAAAATCGGCAGCCCTGCTTGCTAGAGGTCGCCCGCTCAATAGTTGGAAAGATGGAATATCTCAGGACCTGAGTACCAGCATCCACGTAGCACAGACAAAGGCTCCTACCAAATGCCTCTTCAAAACCACACGCTGAGAGGCAGAGCAGGACTGGCGGTGGGAGGGGGCAAAAGAAGATGATACGCCTTTGCGCCTTTAATGAAAACAGCATGAACGCGCACGCGCGCACTTCCTTAGGCGTGGAAACCTAGGCGCTTAGTACCCCGTCCTCCTTTCTCCCAGTAATTTTACGTGGTCTCTTTAACCATGTATAGAAATTCTCTTTGAAAGTATTTGTTTAAATATTTTTTGTTTTTTCAAGTATGCTATGTTAGTTAGCCAGTCGGAATATTATTAATTATTATAATAATACGAATGGCAAAAAAAAAAATATATCTAATCACTTAAAATAGTATGACATTATAAACAAATACAGTACTTTAAAGAAAAACTATTAAGTGCATGGTTAAAGGGGCAAATTAGCCCCGTTATAAAAATTATTCGGTCGGGAGACACTTACCTCTCTCTCTCTCTCTCTCTCTCTCTCTTTCTCTCTCTCTCTCTCTCTCTCTCTCTCTCTCTCTCTCTCTCTCTCTCTCTCTCTCTCTCTCTCTCTCGGTTATAATATTATTATTAATATTTTTGTGGGGGGGGGGGGGGGGGGATCAAATAAGAACCTTAGCCACGAACCTCCCGTATTTATGTGCCTTGAAAACATGTAAGGTGATAAGGAAAGTATGATAGTGGCTCAGCACCCTATCCCAATGTTTTCTGTGTTCTATATATGTACATTCAAACTGGCTTACATAATGTTTTATCAAATCTGAAATTTTGTTTTTGCTAGGCTTGTTGCTAAGCTGTTTTGGGGCTTCCCTTGATGCAGTTAAAGGTCTGGTGTAGTAACTTAACCTCATCAATTAATTTATTGTTGAAGACGTCAAAGGAGATAGATTTTTGTATTTTAATGTTGTTAAGAAGAATATTTTTTTTTTTTTAATGTTACAACTTCATTGGAATGAAGTAATACTTCCAAAAGACTAAGCATAGACTTTAATACAAATGGAAAGAAATTGTCATCTCTACATTTACCTTCTAACACTGTAAGCCTAAATTGTGTTGGAATCTTATCAGCATTGGGTGGTTGTTATTTTTCTATTAGATACCTCCATTGTTTGTTTTTTTTTTTTTTTTACATAATATTCTTTTTTTTTTACAATGTTAGAAAATGTGACGACCAATGGCATAACTGACCTCGGTCTTCCAATCTAGGAGTATTATCTGTGTCTACAATCTGAACTAACATTTATAATGTTATGCTCGCTCTTATTGGAAACTTAAATTCAAACAACAATTTAAAGATTGACAGCCACTGGCGTATTAACCTAGTATCACAAAATACTTCGCATTAAAACTAAGTCAGAAAATCTTGAGGATAAATAAAAACTGGAATTGTATCATGCAATCATGCGAAATTATACATTTGTATCAATAATTTCATCTCACTACATTCTTTTTTTTTTTTTATTTTTAACAAAGGCACAACACAGTGCCAGAATTAACAATGTTGATGAAAAATTTTTAATAATACCAAAACATAGGGCGTGGTACCAAAATTTGTGTTTTGCTCAAAGAGGGTAAAATAGTACAAAATGTGTACAAAAATACCATTTCGGTGGCTCTTTCCTCGCGTGGTAAGTGATGAGTATTTTTTGTATCCTGAGATTTATTTGTCTTTTTTGACTACATTTTGTTTACATAGAATGGAAAGAAAACTATTTCAAGTTGTAGAAGAAATAATGGACTTATTTTCAAGGAGTGGTAGTGACGATGACTTTGAAATGTATATTTTAAGCAGAGAGCAAGACCATTAGACTGAGCCATCAACATCATCGAGACAAACTGGCGTGTCTGAGAAATCGATATTTGCATGCCCGGTGTACTCGTCATCAGTGTAATCAGAGTGCGGTGATAATGAAGTGCCATCAAAACAGCACCAAACGGATCAAATAAATCCTGATCTTCCTGTAATTTCAGACCACTGTGCGTAGTTTTTGACAACATGCTGCTGAAAATAAAACAGGTTTTTTTTTTTCCATTCTTTATCAGTGAATCAAATTTGACTTTTATAGCAGATGAATATCACCGATTCTCCAAGGATGTCACTGAGACGGCTTCTCCCACCTCAAGCTCTCGTCTTCCCCTGCATGGATTTTTATCATGGTATGGGGCGTCGCAAGTCAACCTAGCC